TTGGCTCGAGGCAAATTGTTGTGCTCGTATAAACTAAGCGTACGTGCAATAGGAATTTTATCCACCAAGTGATACGTAATCTCAAAATCTCGTAAATACCCCCCCCCCATCCCATCCCCCCTCCCCTCTTATTTTCACGTACATCCCTGAATCTCCTCGAAGCGCTCTCATCTCACCCCTTGACTATTTCTTCCCTCGGTGTATCTCGGACCTCGGAGGCACTTGTTTCTTTCATGGAGGCCACAGGGCGCACGCGAAATCTGGCCGCCATCAAACGCCAACTAAATTATGGGATTTCTCGTGTTGGGAAATAAAAGGAAAAGCAGGAGCTTAGCGCACGATGAATCGCGCTTGATTTATCGACTCTTGATTCAGGACTCGCGAAAGGGCGCGCGACTGGTAAAATTAAAAGCGATGGAACGCGGCTCTCGGTGATCTCTTCCTCCGCTGCGACTCTCGCATTGTCATTAAAATGTTTTCACGGAGCTGCTGTCGCGTCGGCTGGATTCCATGTCGGCTCATTTGTCACAGCGGCGACGCCTGTATCTCAACCCGAACTCCGTGCACATCGACGATGTATCGATCCCCACTTTCCTCCGCGCATTATTTCCATTGATTTATATAACGTGACCCAGTGACGAGAGACTCAAAGCGCAATTTCACTGCTCGCCGGCGGCTAGATAGAAACTCACTCCCCTACCCCCTGAAACTCGACCGGATGAGCAGAGATTTTTCATTATGATTATTATTAACTTACGTGTTTCCTATTAGTTGGGGCCAGGAATCCGTTTTTATAGATCAGTGCGTCTTACCATCGTAAATAATCGATGGAATATTGTTAAATAAGCACTTCCAGAATCAACTAGACTTTCTTGCATAAGAAGGCAAATTGTACACAACCGATGACGAACATTCGTAACGTCGATTATGTACGGTATAATTTCTAAGATAAGAGCTTGCTCATGAATTTTTATTGTTTCGCAATGTTTAGTCATCTCTAATGGATGAAAAGACTTTAAATTATTAATCAATGACTTTATGTGAAATTCGCGAGAACGGTAAAATATACGTAACAGACGTCATGAATATAAAGTAGGTATTACATTAGGATATTATGCTTTACAAATTCAATATCATCTTCCTAATTTGTAAAAGCAATATATACATATATATATATATATATGTATATATTTTTTTTTCTTTCATTCTCTTACAGCAGTGCTGGCTGCGATGCTTTTGTACAGGCCCTTGTTACATCCAAGGATATACTTATTGGTTGGTATTTGTCAATATTTGCATTATTGTAGAACAGATTTATTTTTGATCAGATATTTACTATTGAATTCATGGACCAGTTGAGAACGATGGGAGATCAAAATAATATATAGGATTTGCTTATTGTAGGGTCGCGTGGGTGAATCGAACTAAATGATAATTCAGCTTTACCAACTTATTAGTGCGAAACATGACGGAAATTTGTATTTGTTGACTTACTTAAAAGTTATTTCCAATGTAATATCGATTGTTTTTAATGCTATTTAAATATTTTAAACTAAAACTTGGTATGTAATATGTCATAACAATGTGAATTCAAACATAAAAATTGAATTTTATTGTAAATATAAAATTAGACACCTTGCAATATACTACAATGGAATAAACAAATTAATTGTCATTATAATAGTAATAAATGCATTGGCCATTACGATTTCAGCAGATTGATTTTACATTTTTAAATCGATGTTCAAACTATGATTAATTTTTACTTATATTATTGAAATAAACATTATACGTGTGTGCGTGAGACATGAACGCGGGTATTGACCTGTATGTAGTAACGTAATATAATTCGATATGTCGATAATCCCTATAACACAAAAATATTTCATTTCTGAAGATTAGAAAAATTGACTAAGTTACGATTGAAGATAAAAAAAAAAAATAAAATAACGCTCCATGCAATGTGCGTAAATGCGTAAATGCTCGTTCCATCCTAGCTAAGAGCTTATTATATAAGGAAATGCTAACCATATTATCTCTGATAATTTGAATCTGTTCATTTACTTAAACTACGACTGCTCATGATTCAACGAAATTTAAGTTTAATTATTTCACATTAAAGTATGTACGGCAAATGTTTTAAACCAATATTCAGTTTAAAATATGGATTAACAAATGTACATACGCTTCCATTATAATATTATATTTAATAATGTAATTAAAATTTTGATTTTGCTCTATATAACTTTGGTACATTAAGGATGTCTTTCATAATTAATGTAATGAATTAATATGTACCTTCTATATTAATTCAATCATTTATAGAGTAATTGCGTCGAAACGTTAAAATTAAATTAACTTATAATTATTTACAATTATTAACGTGCGTTAAAATATTAATTATAAACTCTAAGAATTATTAATATGTATTAAAGAATAGAATAATATAAGTTTCTTCGAGCAATTATTAGATATAAATTGCTAAATTATTATTTTATGTACACTAATTTGACAATAATAATCAAAAACTTATTGAAATATTATAAAAATTACAGGCAATAAGTAGAAATATCTAAATTATTATGCTTTCTAGGGTTGCCTACCATCATTGACTTGCATTTACCTATCGCTTGCAACAGCTGGTTTGAATTAAATTTGAAAGTAATTTGTAATAAAAGTAGATTAAAATAAAAGCTTTTATTTATTTCACGCGTAAATGCAAAATTACTTGGCGCATTAAAAAGAGACGGAGCTCGATAAAAACCAATTCGAATGACTATGAAATTCAATTTCAAGTGGTTCATAATTGGCTGAAATCGAATAATAAATCCTAGAGTAGGAAGCATATATAAATAGCATGGAAATCGCCACTACTTGCAAATGTTCTCCAATTAGTAAGCTAACGAGGTGAATTCCTGTAGCTTGGAAAGCAACGAGAAAGAAAGTTTCACTATGAGAAGTGTGAGGAATTGAGACAAGAGAGGAGTAAAATGGATTGAGTCGGGTGATATAAAAACTGTTTCGTGATCTATGAAAAGTTGGCGCACGTGTGAAGTGCAGCCCGAACTTCTGTGAAGTTGTCGGATGCACCCCATTACTCACTTTTCACTGCGAGCTTCCGCATGCGAAACTTCCGCATCCAAATTTCTCCGGTTATAACAACGCCTTGTCAAGTTTCTTTTTACTATTATCTCAGAGTTATATTCGCCATATGTTTGGGAGGCAGAGCAATTGCATTTTCAATTATGTTGAACATTTTTTGTACGTGTTTTTATAATTATACATTACGCGGCAAGAGTGAAGATCGAAATATTTCAAGACCTCTTAGGTGAAGGCTTAGTAAGAATCTCTTAAGTGGATAATCTGTATCGAAAATTAATGTGCAAACGAAAAATATCGTATCCTTGTAATAATAATACCTTTTCTTCGCTCTAATATCATTAAATGTATTAAACGTAGATATTAAATCTTGATCATTAAATGAATTTCAATGAACATTTACTTTACTTAGATTGGACGCTAAGTTCAGATTCCTTTACTTTGAGTTACTTTCTCTTATCTTAGTATTCTTTTATCTTTTACATTGGTGCGTGCAATTATGGAAAGGCGATAAGTAACTAAATATCTAAATACGTGAATGTACGGAAATTGTCTACTAACCGCTACTATTACAATCTAAATTTGCTATAACTATTTATATTTTCGAATAAAGTTTTTGAGAAAGCATTTTCAAATAATCGTAAGCATATGTTGGTATTTTCTACATGTTCAGACATTATATAAACTGAAAAAAGTTTTTGATGTTCTGAATGTACGTCGACTGACAACACAAAGATGAATAACATTTTTATAGTCCTATGATAACGTATTATAACAATTACGGCGTATTTAAAATGATTGATTTCAACTTTATCAATTTTTTCATATATTATATTAAATTTCCTACTAAATTCTAACAAATAAGCATACTTAATCATAAAACTTGAGGGAAAAAATTTCATTTTCATTAGTTATAATGTCGAAAAAATTATAGAACGAGAGGACATTGTAAATTAATCTCTATACTGGATAAATATAATTTCAGATTATCAAAAAAAAAAAACAAAAAAAAAAAAAACTAATATACTATAATTAATTTACGTATTACATTTCGCAAGTATTAGATAAACAATTAGTATTTCCAATTCTATAATAATAATTGTCCATGTAATTATTACTTATCGCGTCTACTTATCAACATTGATATGAATAATTTGTAATGTATCATTATGTATACATAAATTTTTAGTTACGACTTAATTAATATTTTTATTTCCCTAAGAGTTTCTCATACAAATATTAGATATGCCCTACTCAAATCATAAAATTTATCATAAATCATATAACTTATGAATAATAATGACATGTGAATGATTAAAGCTATAAAAATTAGCTGAAAGCTGAATATGAGCATTTTAGTAATAAATCAATTGAGGCTTATTCAAAATATTAATATTGCAATAACCTTAGTTATCGTTATTCGTAGAGACTTTGGTTATATTCGTACAACGTTATTTTCGAAAATTCAAAAGATCAGGCCTCGCGAGCAAACAGTTTAGCCATTAATTTGCATAAGGTTCGTGCAATTTTTTTGAATACGCTGTTATTCCAATTCGATTAAAGTAATCGTTGCTTACTACGTAATATTAACATTAACGATAGGCAAATTTATTTAACTGGCCAAAAGTTGAAGTGCGATAAATGACATTTGTGACAAAGAAATGGATAATTCGTCGTAGAAATAAGCAAAGAACTTGCCTTGCTATACCTCGACGTGCGATAAACAAATTTTCGAAATAATTTCAATTTTATGCGTACTTAGCTTATGATTTAGCATCGTCTTGTTGTTAACATTACCATTATTTACAAATTAATAAGTCAATAATTGAAAAACGAATAAATTTAATGTAATATTAGAATAAATAATTGATTGACAGGTAATAAATACATACAATAACATTGTCTTAATTTAAAATTTATTTTCTTTTTCATACATTCACATATTTTACGCCAGTTGTATTAGTAATAAGATTATTCGCTAAGCGTAGCGCAAAAATTATCTTCTCTTCCATATTAATACTATAACGAATATGGCTTCTAATCAAAGCTCTATTTCGAGTTTATTTTATTCACGGAATGCGATTCATTATATACAAAACGAAAAACTATTAGTCGATTGGTCCACTTGCCACTTTGACTTTAGGCTAGTTTACTTATTACCATTAACAATAATAGAAAGTTAGTAAACTGTGTACAATTTTTTTTAAAAATAATTCAATCTAATAATACCGATAAAAATAACCTCGCAAAAATTCAATTTTACAATATTCTTTATAAATTACAAACAAAATATCACTTGTTTATGTCCAAACCATTATCACTGCTTTAGATAGTTATTTAAGAAAACATTCACGTGTAATATCTTACACCTGGAAAAATCTTTTCTAAGATTTGAAGATACAGCAAATCCTGTGAAATTTATCTTTATACTTAGTACTCAATTTGTCCTCAATTGGTAATCGCCGTTCTGGGTGATGTATCTGACCCACGGTAACGCCTGGTATCCACTTTTCTCAATGATCTTTAAGTAACGCACTTGAATGCCGGATGTGGTGAAGTAGGGTATTTCAAACTTGACTTGAATGGGCGGTTTGCCTTCTACATCTTCGCCAACGACGGAGGGTAGACCAAAATGTGCCCTCATAAGATACTCCTTACCACCGGGGAAAGATTTGATAGACCATGTAATTGCACTTTGTTCCGGAGAGTATTTAACACTTCCAATGGTAGTTTTGAATTTTGGCGAATCCGCGTCATTTGGCACCGGAATGACTATTTCAACGTTATTCGCGGTGGAGCGTCTTTTAAATTGAGAACGCGCTTTTATCATATATTCCACTCTACTGTGCGCGTGTCTCTCTATTACCGACTCGATCCAAATCAATGGTTTGACGTGCGTATTTAAACGATAAGACATCAATTCAAATTCCCCATCGGGAGGAATGAACGATATAGTTCGATCGTTTTCGAATCTTGAGAGCCTCACGCACTGATGAAACTTTACATCTTCCAATTCGACGGACTTTGATTTCCCACGACCCGTGGACTCAAACAATACCTTGTCGTTCAAACCCAAACGAAGCTCCGGCATCCCAGAAAGATACACTCTCATTTTTATGGCCCCAACAATTTCAGAGCTAAGTACATTTCCATTTGCGTTTGCCAATAAATTGACGGACTCTATTACATCTAAAAACACCTCGTTCTTTCTATATTTTATACCCTCCGATCTCCAAGAAACTGCATTTGTCACTGCCATTGGTATTCTAGGCTGAATTTCCAATTTGTGTCCCTCTTGCGTTATATATTCCTGCAATATCTTACTATCGGTCGTCTGCGGATATCCAAAGTCGAGTAATTCATCAAGGAGTTCATAAATTACAACAAAATTATCCCTAATACTCTCTTCCTCGAGTTCCTTAAAATATTCCTGCATAACTTGAACTACTTTATGCAGAAATACAAATACCAACGATATATTGGCATTCTTTTTAGTAGTGGATACAATGTATAAATTATTATATTTTATGTAAGCATAAGTACACTCGGCCGTTTGAATAATCGGAGTAAGATTACTCTCTTCCTCCCTCTCCATGACAAGTGGCATAAACTTTTCTATAACACCTGCCTCTATGTCTCCCCGATAGTTTCTGGAAATCAGGACTTTCCCCTTCACGTCCAAAATAAAAATTGCTGAAGTCGACATCTTGTTCAAGCGGAACCTTCAATAAAAACAGATCGATAAGAAATCTTTGGGAGAATAATTTTACAGAATCATGATATCATATAGGTTATGTTGACGAGCCCGTGTTCGTTAAATCGGACATTAGTCGTCAATGGGGACGAGTACCGCCGGCTCGAGCATGCAAGTCATCACAAGGCACATCACACAAGTGCCAAAAATACGAATATCACCGACTCCGTGACAAAAAACCTACCCAACCCACGCATTAACACTCGTTCGGTGATATTCTCGCCAGCCCTCCCACCTTCTAATTTCTACCGACGAAGCTCGCCACTACCATACGCACCTGATTTCATCGAAACTTTCGAACTCAAGGTAAGCTGCTGCCGAGGCCGAGGAGTTGCATTCGTAATGGGCACAACAGGTGCCTGCGCATTGAAGCCCGCAGTATCACCAAATAAATTCGCCGGATTGTCAATTGCCACTGAAGCACGACGAGGAGGATAAGGCAGGTTAGCCCCCCACGGCCAACGACTCCGCGACAGACGGCGCTGACAATTACACGAGAGCAGAGCGAACGACGACGACGATCTGACCCGAAGCCCTGCGAGTCGAGAGCGGCCAGTCGGGAAACGAATTGGCCGTGAGGGCGCATGCGCCCGACTCTCGAGACTTATCGACCGCGAACTCGCGCCGAGTTTTAAAATGTCGTCGTCGGCGCGGAAGTCGGGAGAAGTGGGAGTGGAGCTCCGCAGCCTCCTTGGATTACACTCGTCGTCTCGAACTCGTTGAGAAGCTGTAATTAACGTGAGCACCGGAGTCTTACGGAGCTGCGATTTTTCACATTTTTCAATGCACATGTAATGACTCGGCCTGTTGACTACTCATCGCCAGGGATTGCAATTGCAAAAGAGATCCCTGATGTTCCTTGCAATATTTCCTCTGTTTCAATAATACTGCATGGCGTTACATTGCATTCATAATATTATTAGATTTATTATTTACATTGCATTCATAATATTATTAGATTTATTATTTACATTTTAGAGAAATTTAGAGACATATTAATTTCCTGTTTTGTAACGCGCGTGCGCGTGTAGGTGTGTGTGCGTGCGTGCGTGATGTGCGTGATGCGCGTGGATGCGTGTGTAGGTGTGTGTGCGCGTGTGTAAATACGTGTGCATGCGCGTGGGTGTGTAGATACGTGTGCGTGCGAATTGACGAAACGATAATATTTTAATGATAAAACAAATGTCAAATGTTGTTGATATAAAATGTGCCTTTTAATTTATAAATAAATTTTATTATTTTGTATTATTGGTTCAATTCAAATTGCAATAAAAATTCTAGCTAATGTACATATAAAAACACATCATTGGATTCATAAAATTTTAATAACGCATTTGGCCCATTTCATTAGTTAAGTCAATATATGAAGTCGTGCTAAAACATTGTTTATTTTATTTATAAAATTTCTTTGTAATAGATTTATGTTGAAATATTCACAAAGAATTTATTTGCCTATAGAAAATTACAAAAATCGAAATTTAAGAAATTCAAGACTTTTAAATTTCAATTAGACAGTAACATTTGAAAAATCTAATCATAAATAATTATTTCTTTGCCTACATAGACGAATTTAAAGAAAAAGAAAAATATTTTTAGAAAAAGACAATTGTTGTAAATTCTAAATTCTGATGTAATCTCTAACGCTTTGTTGAACATTATCGAATAATCAGATAAACTATTAAATATCATATGTTCAACGTCTTACGTCATTCACACTCATATCGTGAACACTTGTACTCGATAAATTAAGCAACAAATATCCATCCAAGCACAACTTAAGACATAAAAAAAAATTGCTAATATATGGCCAAAAATGTGACAAAATGAAAAATACATCCATCGCATCTAATCCCAATGACATTAATCGCAAATAATATCATACCATAAAGTAGTATAATAAATTTTTAAAATATGAATGTTAATATAATTATAGTTAAAATTTATGATTTGGCCAATAATAAAGTTGGTCATTTAAACTTATTTAGAAACGAAATTTGTGATTAAATTTTGGTTTTTATAGAAACTTTATAAAATCTAAAATCTTACATAAATGAACAAAACTTGGTACAAAAAAAAAGAAAAAAAAACTAAAATTACTCGTATGAATCTTTATAAAAAAAAAAAATTTTATGCAACATACATGATAATTTAATAAAAAAAGAAATTCATAAAAAAAAATAATAATAATACTAATAATAATAATAATAAAAGACCGTAAAATTGACAGCAACTTTCTGTAGAAATATTGCTGAATATTATATACATAACATTAAAGTTACAAAAAACAAAATTAGAATAAATTAGAATAAAACTGATCGATTATGCTATAACATATTTATCTTGCTGATTACCTACCATTCGAATATTTTCGTGCGAACGCGAAGAAAATTCTTTAATGCTTGATCAAATGTATCTCCATAATGATACGAAAATTAGCATTGTTTATATTATGTAAACAAAATGTATCGAAGAAAATTAAAAATCTCATTTTCACAATGGAATTTGTATTTATTTGCATTCATAAGGCAATTATTACTATTTGTATTTCCTGAACAATCAATACGAAGCTAATGATTTTTAATTATCTTCTTATATTAATTATAATAATAATATAAATAATACAAATAGATATGGAAATTAATAATATTAATAATATAAGTGGGAATATGCAAATAGATGTATATAGAATTCAAAATAATCAAGATAAATAGAGACCGTACACTTTATAATAAATATATGCTAATTATATTTTGTATTCTTTTGATCAACACGAACGTCGTTCATTATGGAAAAGTATATTTAGTGAACATAACTAATTATTCATTCAAATAAGGTATTAATTAAATACAATTCATCATACAATGTGCATAAAATATAACTTTATTAAATTTCATCGTTGATTTTTAACAAATTATATATACGATATTATCATAGAAAATGGTAACGAAAAAATTTATTGATATAGAAATAATAGAATGTTTATGGGGGGAAAAAAAGGAAAAAAAAAGGAAAAAAAAGGAAAAAAAAAAGGAAAAAAAAAAGGAAAAAAAAAACAAGCCCAAATGAAAGTTTTTCATGCATTTCCAACATTTCGAAAAACTCGAACAAATATTTAGTTGCAAAATCCGTTTAAATATAATCTGTATAAGTTTATACGTGCATCTATATAGCAAATAATTCAATATTATCGATTAATGTAGCTTTATATTTTTTAAATTTTTGTCAAATTGTTTCTATATTTCCGTTCTTAAACATTAATTGAGGGAATAAAAATTTAACAAAAAAATATATTAATTTCATGATAATATTAATAGTATGATAATATTTAGTTATATAAATATTAATGATCAGAAAATTGTTCTATTTTGCTGCATAAATACACAAATAATGAAAACTAATTAAAATTTTTACTAACAATTGAACTTCAATTTACAGTTAAGGTATCTATTTAACAAGAATTTTTGTCAAAGGTTCATTTGTAATTATTATATTTATAATTCGTTGTACGAATGAATGGATGAGCCAACGAATGAATTAATTATGAATAATTAGGTTTCGCGAGAATGAATTATATGATGTCAGAGATGTTTTATAAGCACATACCCGAGAAGTAAAATATTTTCTTGACAGACGTTGCAGTAGAAATCTTAATAATGACAAACATTATATATATTAAATTTTATAAAATTCATTATGTGATAAGCGTTTCTTTAAAATATACTAAAAATCTTAAAGAATACAAATAACAAATGATTTAGCAGACAAATGAAAATATAAATAGTCCCAAGTTGATGTTTGATAACCATTATGTTTTTTCACTCGCCTTACTCGCCTCAAATAGTAGTGATGACAAATCGAAGACACAAACAAGTCCAGTGGACCCAGGCAATCAATAGTGGCAACGCAATGTTAGTCCTTTGTCCTTGAAATGAGAGAGCACGTTATATAATATCGTATTTGTATAATTTTAATATACACTTGTCGTTGATCGATTCATGCATTAATATAAATATAGGCTTTATTAAAGTTAAGGCCTCGTAGCGTCAAATAAATTTCGACTTCGATTATTCACCCTCACAATATGTCACATTCAAATTCCACTTCTCCACTTCCACCGCTGGTTTTTCGTTATATTCAATTCTCTCGAGATACACGCATATATTTTCAAATACTTCTCATTGTTACATAATTTTTCTATAGACGCGCTTACTAATATTGCGGTTTCAATAAGCGTAAAGCACGTAAGCGTTGATAGAAATTGTATATAAATACACAACGCCAGGGCTTTCATAATACTTGTCGAGAGTGCTAATTAATCTTAACATTTACTGCGTATAAAGGATATCACGCATGTACAACCATCTCTCTTTTTCATTAAATTCGTTTTATAATTGATGAGGATTATTAGCACTAATTACAAATGTTTGTGTAATTTCATTAGCACTATGTACTTTGCTACTAGTGACATGTAATTTATACGCATCTATATGATAATCTATTAAATGATTGTCTTAAATTGAAAATTTACGATGAAGTATTAGAATAATTACAACATAATTCTATATACTCTGTTAAAATTCATATATACAGAGTAACTCATCGATAAAAGTTATTGAGAATTTAATAAAATGTTAAACTTATTAGACCATTGTTGACGCCTAATGCTGCATTGCATTATTATTAACGCATACCAAGAAAATATTCTATCTTAGGATATTAGATTAATTTACGTTGTTGGTCGCCTCGTTTGTGACATCGGCTGAAGTGTCGTTTAATCGCTACGTGACCATTATCGTTACTTAATGTACATGGATTTTTTTTTTCTTTTTTTTTTTTTGGAACGATTATTGACTTTATATTATTCTGACGAATTTAAAGATTAATTTTGAAAACACATATAATTTGATATAATATCAAATATTAATGTAAAGTGATGCCTTTAAAATGATGTTGTTAAGACTATTTTAATTTGAATGAAAACAGAAAAATGCAAAATTTTGTAAATTTTAAATAAAGAAAAAAAATTTTTAATTTAATATGCATTAGAAATAAAATTGATTCGCGGTAATATCTTTTTTTGGTTTTAATTTTAAAACTCGACATGAATTGATATATAAAATTTTACAAAAAAAATATGAATAATATCAATTAAATAAAGCTATATAAAAATTTCAATTACTAGAAAAGTTTAGAACAGAGAAAGTTTAAAAAGATTTTATTAAATTTTCTGTATAAATATCAATGTTTTAAGCATACCCTGGAAGCTCATGAATATTTGTTGAAATCAATCAAGAAAGCTTCATAGTTTAAAATATTTTCTAAATAAGATTATTAAAATAATTATTACCAGTGTTCAATGTACTATAAACTTTCTTATCGCATACTCTTTATTCAACATATATAAATATTCACAACTAAAATAAAACTTTTTAAATTTATTCTTCGAATTACTTCGGTAAAGTGAAACTTTTATAAAAAATAAAGTTCTTCCGGCAAAAACATTTGCACATTTTAGTACGA